TACAGAAACTGTGTAAATTAAAGCCTCAACAACATTGATATAAATATTCATTTATAATGCCTTATTTGTCCTGCAGCTATGAACACAATGTACAATTGTACAGACGTAGATGCTAGGACATGCAGCAGTTTGATAGAATTAGGAAATGGTAGAATTTAATGATTGCTCGAGATCTGCCCACCACTGGTAAACCAGGAGGCCCACTGCGTTTACATCTCAGTTGAGTGTTTACCTTCCATTCAGGCTTTTTCAATCTTCCAAGGAGAATATCCCCCAGTAATCTGAATGTGGGGATGATATCTCAAAGCTGAGATCTACTAACCTATTAGAAGTTGGCATCTTCCCACTTCTGTCAGCTCCAACATGAGAGACACCCACTGCCAATACTGCAGCATGGCCAGATTTGGGAAGAAACACTCATGAATAAAGAAAAGGGGTGCATTTGCCACGCCAGACAGAGAGGGTGGAGGAATGCTAATGTATGGATCGTGGGGGTCAACACAGATCTCTTGTGACATGTGCTTTCCAAGTACAGCAGACCCTTTCCACTCAGATGTAAACAAGGCTCATATAGCGATAGAATCTCCCACCAGCTTGAATACCAGTGGGTTTAGATCTTTAAAAGGACTCTTAATGGCCTGAGTTGGCCTCTGGATGAGGAGGATGGATACTTTCTAATCAACTTGTTCAGAGATGTTATCACACAAATCTAGAACCCAGGCCTCCTGACCCAGGTGTAGGAACCTGACCAGTACGTCACAAGAAACCTTTTTTGGATAGGAGGATATCCTTAGACCTTTCCATCATGAAATAGTGAAGACAGGTGGAAGGGTCTCATACCCCTGACACCTATGCCCCTTGAACATATGGGCAGCATTTGGGCGGCACGGTGGCTCAGTGGTTAGCACTGCTGCCTCACAGCACCAGGGACCTGGGTTCAATTCCAGCCTTGGGCGACTGTCTGTGTGGAGTTTGCACATTCTCCCCGTGTCTGTGTGGGTTTCCTCCCGGTGCTCCGGTTTCCTCCCACAGTCCAAAGATGTGCAGGTTAGGTGAATTGGCCATGCTAAATTGCCCTAGATTAGGTGGGTTATAGGGGGATGAGCCTGCGTGGGATGCTCTCAGGTTCGGTGTGGACTTGTTGGGCCGAAGGGCCTGTTTCCACACTGTATGGATTCAATGATTCTATATGGCTCTGCCACATCCAATCTGATTCACCTGGGGAAGGACGTATTACATTTCACCCAAAATAAATCAACCTGCATAAACAATCATGGTTAGCAGATTTATGTGCTAAATCCATTAGTATTGTTGTTAGCCATCAATCATTACACATTTGAAGGATTTTGAAAATGATATGCATTATCAGATTTGAGTAAATTATAATTTAATTTGCACTTCTTTAAGATCATCTGAAATGCATGCAAATAAAACTAAATGGAATATAAAGGTTCATTTGGCATAGAATGGGTGTCCTGCTGGGGGTTGTATGGCAGACTTGGGAAGACAAAGCTGGAATGCTATTAGGATTTGACTTTTAAGGTCTTCTGAGACTGGCCTGTTGCACCTCGATATGCTCCAAATGTCCAGGTTCATGTGCATTCACAGATCAAGCAGCTCTCCACACCATTTGTGATCCAGCATGGATAAACTTTATGGCTGAGGAAGAAATTAAAATTTGAGCCTTGCCACAGTTTTAAAGAGTCAGGTGTACCAGCAAAAAAACATTACAAACAGAATTCATAATTATTGACTTTGTGATTCGCTGTCCTAAATTAGGTTAGCTCTTCCACAACAACAAAATCCCTGTAAGCTTAAATACCTGGTTCATGCAGACACACAATATACCATGGGCACCTGGAGATGTGACTGGTAGAAAAATGCCATCATGATGTCAGTTTGTCCCATCACAGATAGAATTACTGTGTTTTATTACAATCAGTGTGCTTTGTATATGAGAAGTGTGTTTTCATGCCTTCAGAGTTCTTTCTTTTCTTTATCTGTGATCTTCACAGCAAGTAAACAGTCAAACCCAGGATGGTACACATGAGTGTTCACAGCCATCAGTCCACTTCAGTAGAGTTGAACTTGGCTTTTAACCCATTTGTGTCTTTGTATATCCCTGGGGTTAAATAGATGTATTTGCAAGGGGTGCCTTTCTGCCAAGAGGGGAGACAAAGTCAGCCTCCTCATTATCTCTTCTTGTTAAGTCTTTCCTTGTTTGACTTTTCATGCACAACATTCGATGGGCTTCTCACGGGAATTGGCCAAGACAGTCACTGAACATAAATCATCAGGTTTTCTATAACAGTCCTCCTTTTAAAAACAATATAGTTTGGAATTGAAAGTAAACAAAAATGACTATCAATCCTTCAGAGCTTGGCTTCATCATCATAGTATTTTTCTACAGGAGGAATGAAGTGAAATCCATTCTCATTTCATTACAAAGGTGTACAATAAAAGAAAAAAAATAGACACACTCATACGCACATTCTTTTAGCCTTATCAGTTAGCTTTTCAGTTCTAACCAGGTCTCTTTAGGTTCTGGACATGGTGTCTACATTCAGATTTCATTTCCTGGCAATGTGGGTGATGTTTAAGAAATACAGCTGAAGGAGCAAGACTCAACAAAGTAACTTAGTGTTCTAAGTATTAAGCTTTTCCACAAAAGTTAACAGACTGTGGACAGCGGAGATGAATTTCAGACATATATCTCAAAATGTTTGACAGCCTATAATAAACCAAGGGTTTTCTTTTCTGCTGCAGAGTACCATGTCTGATATTTGTTTAGTATTTTTGACAAGCACCCAATGAGTCTTTCAATTTAGGCTTCATCTTCCTAAAGAAGTCTCTACTCCAATGTCAGTTACACTGATGACACCTTTAAATGCTTGTTTAAAGCTTTGACCTTCAAGAACCAGCTCATTTGTTAAAATGACCTTCATCTTTCAAAACCAGTTTGACATTTTTCAGTCCATACTACCTTTGTTTTGTCCTGAAGTCTGTCTGTCAGTGGTACTGGACTGAAGATTGCAAAAAACTTCCTGTAGAACGCACACTTTGCCAAGCACCACAATGATTTTACATTCTGTTGTGGGAATGGGGAATTGTGCTACTGTTTCTACATTTGCAGCCCTAGACAGTATTCATTCTTGACTCACTACGTATCCAAAGTTATTTGACTTTACTAAACTTGCTCTTTGCAACATTGACCATGAGGTCAACTGACTATATTTTTGAGAAGGAATCTTACAGTGGACTCAAATGCATTTCCAAATAAGGTGAGCAGTTAGGTTCATTATATTTAATTCTTTGTGATATTCACACATTTGAGAGTTTGAGATAGCTGGGGTCTTTGTATTTGAATTGCTTTCCAATTGAAATTATCTTTCTCAGTACCTTTCTGGAAAAGGCATTGAGTCAAATTATTCTGAATGGTTTATTTGTTCTCTGTGGTGACAGGAGAGTGTTGTAATCCATAAAATTAGTCAAATTATCCTCAGGTGGTCATTGTTTTGCAACCTTTCATGGTCAGTTTTTATATTGTAAAAATTAGTTTGAAGTTCAGAACATACTAGATCATGACACACCTCTTTTGGTGGCAGCAACAGTTAGTTACTTATCACTTCTGAAACTGACTGCAGTGAAGAGCATATTTTATTTATTTCCATTATTATTGGACTATGGATGATGAAAAGAAGACACTGCTTTAAACCAAGGAGACTGTGCAAAGGGATGGCTGCAGTTTTAAAATCATGGTTATTGGAGCACATTGTGAGTTCTGCACAATGCTGCATTTTTCCTGGGAGAGTGAGAGTAAAAGCAGACACCGTGGAGCCAAAGAGTTCTGAACTAGGGGGAGCAATTCATTGGCAACAATGTTTTGATTGCGCCCTGACTAAGTAACTATAGCTTATGTCAGACCAGTGTAGCAGAGAAACATCCAGACTGCAAACTAAAAACATCAAAAAAACTTTTCTCTTTCCTGTGTGGAGGACCAGAGAGTCTCCAGGAATAGTTACCTGTCTTCCACTCTCCTTGCTTTGCAGATTGCCTGTGGTGATTGAGCAATAAAATACCTTGAAAGGACTCAATCCCAACCAGTGAATGGAGAGCACTGGTGTGCAGACAAACTTGTGTCAGTAGCAAAAAACTAAAGACACAGGAAAAAACTGAACAAAATCAATTCACCAAATCCTATGCCCAGACTGGTGCTATCAAACTGTGTTTCTTAGATTTTTTTTCTCCTTTTCTACCCTTAGTATCTATGCCATTTCTATAGTTATATGTCTGCTGCTTATGAACGGAGGAATTTAAAAGGATAGCGTTTAAGTTCTAAACAATTTTAAGTTCGCAATTCATGTTTCATTTTTGCAATTACTGGAAGTCAATTTGTTTGTTAGAAACAGTTACTTTATTGTGAAGAACAGAAACCTGGTGAGCATTTTTTTTTTCACCTGAGTTCATCAGTCAGTTAAATCGAGTACTTTGGATAGTTTTACAGAATATTTTTGTAAATTATTGTTATTAAATATATTTATCTAAATATTTACCAAGCATTTATAACAATTCCAGGAAAAGTGGGGCTTGATTTTCAGCTCCTTATCTCAGTGAGTCACGACACTGCCAAAATGTCAATTATTAAAATATTTAAAAGGAAAATGGATATTTGGGGAAGTTAAGATATTGGTGAATATTAAAAGTGAGCGAATTATGATTAAATCAATGCCACAAATAATTAAAATGATGGAATATGGTCTATGAACCTAATCACAATATCTATTATTCCATTAGGAAGTTCTCAATATTATTTCAACAAAATAAAGTTAGCTCAAAAGGTGACAGCCATTCTGGTGTCTTTTCTGTTTTTGTTTTATTTCATTACTTTATTGTCAAGGTTTTGATGGGAGTAATTACACGATTTACCTGATTATTATTTGAATATTAGCAATGCTCTTACAAGAACATCTTACTTATTTAATTTTCTTATTCACTTGCAGGAGCTCTCCATTCAAATGATAGATAAAAATTTCCAGATAGACAAGCCATTAGAAATTTTTTGGAAAACATCCTGAGTTTTAATTCTACGTATCGGACGTGTAATGTTTTTTAGATGCGTTTTGTAATCCCAGATTGATTAATGAAGATTTCAAGGGAGCATACTGAAGAAACATCCTTCATTTAATAAAAACAATGCTAGAAATCTGAATTTAAAACAGAAGATGCTTGAGAAAATGTACCGAGTCTGGCAACTTCCATGGATAGGGAAACAGAGCCAATGTTTTGAGTCTGATATGATTTCTGAAGAAGTAGTATTGGACTCAACACATTAACCCTGTTTCTCTCTCCACAGATGCTGCCAAACCTGCTGTATTTCTCTGACATTTCTTGCAGAATACAACAATTTAATATAAATTTAACTTAAATATTTGGAATTTTTATGAATTGAAAGGAATTCTGTTGAAAGTCTTTCATTATGCTATATTTAACATTGCATTTACATTTTTTTTTAATATTGCCTAGTAATGGTGTTGGAACTATTGCTTGCTTAAAGCATACCACAGTGAATCTCTCCATCAGCATTGTAAATAATTCAGCATGGTAAAAGTCATGTGCGTTTTACTGGTGAATTGAATGTAAGAACAAGGGGTGATTTGAAAATTATGCATATGCTTGGTTAGGCTACGGTAGAAGTATTATTTGCATTGTGGTTACCCATTACAGTTGTTGAATCTGATTTCAAGTTTCAATACTTTCACTTCAGAAACAGATTCTTTAAGCAAGCCAGACCTGCAATGATTGTAGGGAGTGATCTAAATTTCCCCATGATATATAGCATTTATCCTTTTTTACTTCAAATCTTTCTTGTGTTTTTGCTAATAACTTTTCATTAATATTGCTTAATGAATGGTTGTGTAATAAAGTAACTTCATATTGCCCCAAATGTAAGTCTACAATGCTGCTTAGTTTTGAATTGAAATAAAAGACAGTTACAAAAAAAATCATCGGGTTCACTTTTGTCCTTTGTAGAAGGAAATCTACCATCCTTATCCAATCTGGCCTACATGTGACTCCAGACCCACAGCAACATAGTTGGCTGTTAATTAACAAGATACTCTGTCTCAGCAGCACTTGCTCAATGTCGTTTTGGGAGGGTAATAGGTGCTGGCCTTGCCAGTGTTGCTCACATCCCAATAACAAATGATCTCAGTGCAACAGTCAGCCTCTGCCTCCTCATTATAAAAATGGGATTTCGCGTAAATATTACTTTACTTTCCTCATCTATGATATTAATATCCTTGCTGTTTTGCAGTCAAAGCCTCAAATTTAAAAATAAATTTTCTGATTATCTATTAGATAATTGTGACCGTGTTCCTGTGTTAGAATGACCCTAATTGGGCGGTCATTTGTGCTGTCTAAGGAATGTGCTGAGTTGGTCAGTGGTTTCTTCCTCACGACCAACCTGTGTGCGTTATATCTGTGTGTGCACGCATGCGCGTGACTGCTGTGTGTGCGTGTGTACCTCTGTGAGCACACGCATGCGTACCACTGTATATACCTGTGTGTGTAAGCATTCCTGTGTGTGTACTTGTGTGTATGTACCTGAGTGTGCACATGCATACTGCTGTGTATGTATCTGTATGTATGTAGGTATACCTGTATGTATGTACCTATGTCTGCACATGCATATACCTCTGTGTGTGTTGCCAGGATGAGCCTAATGTGTGTGTACCACTGTGTATGTGCACGCGTGCACGTACCTGTGTGCATATACCTGTGGGTACAAGCTATTGCCCTGATATATGTGCACTTGTTTCTGTGGGTGTAATCCTGTTCCTGCTAGTCTTGATAGGAAGGGTTTAGAGGGAGATGAGCCAAATGCCAGCTAAAGAGACTAGATTAATTTGGGATATCTGATCAGCACAGACAATTTGGACTGAAGGATCTGGTTCTGTGCTGTACATATTTATGACTTTTATATGAGCTTATACAAATTCTTAGCTCATGGGGACATGTCTGCTGGCTGGTCACAATACACCTATTTGGCATCAGTTTTGGATCTGTGGAAGGGGTGAGCCATGAATCATTCAACTAACTCCTTCTGGGGCATTGCTTGTTTAAAAAGGCAACAATGGTATAATGAATTTACAGGTTAGATTCTTGGGTATGAAGTTCTGTAGGGGTTTCCTGCTTCTCTGTTACATGTTTGAGGGAAGAGAGACAGCTTTAAGAATGAGAATTGTCTGTGTGCAAATATGAAGCCAATTATTTTGTTTTTACCTTCATACATTTAGCAAATTTTCACTAGAATTTGAATGCCTTGGAGCATTTAAGTGATGCCTCACAGTCCCGTCCCATCACTACTGACAATGCATTCACCTGAAAAGTGAAGCTGAGGAACAACCACCTATTTGCCTTCTTAAATCAGTTTCCAATCTTCCCCGCAGCTGCTTTCTGCACTTTCTAACTGTACTATTTTTGCAATCTTCCAGTCGCATGACAAAATATTCTGAAATTTTGTGTGGGTTCACTTAATAATGTCATCTACAGAGAATAAGATAAATCTCTTTAAATGCGCTAATAATTCCAAATCAACTGGTACATTTTGTCACTATTGTTTCTCCATATGCAACTTATAAGTAGCCTTTTTCTTTCCATTTTTCCCTTTTCTTATGGTTTCCTGGTTTTATTTCATTAATGGTCAGATCTTTGTTTATTTCTGTTCAAATTGGATGGTTGGATGACGTTGAAGATTGGAAATGAATGGTTGTCATTGACTGGCCTAAGTCTAGCTCCATTCTGCTTAAGTATTTTACAATTAAATACAAATTCTCTTAATGTGTTATATCTTTTTGCTAAAATAAAACCCTTTTGAAGCTGTATGTGTCAAATATGATGAATGGAAGCTGCTTTAAATCAGTGTATTTGATCTCAATCTCATGTCCTATATACGGAAAAGACATGCACCAAGAGATCCGATTAAAAATTATACATCTTTCACATACTAATTTGTTTCTAACTTCCTCTTTTTTTAAAAAAAAGTTAATTCATGGTCACAGTAGATAACTCTAGCAGTTTTAAAGTGATTTTGTGTTGGCTTAGGGACTTGCAGGAAGTAAGAAAGTGTGAAAGTAAAATCATTAAATTGAAACATTACAGTCTTCCCATCTGAGGCCTGAGGGCTAGCACTTCCAAGCAGTTAATCCAACAGGAAACAGGCATGAGCCCAATCGCTAGAAAGTAATCAAGGTCCTGTTACTTAAGATAGGACATAAATGGTATTTACAAACTGTGTGAGGAACAGCAAAAGCAGTGGGTTATCAGCAGCCTCAAATAAGCAAAGAAATCTTTTGTTCAGGAACTTTATGCATTATTGAACTTCTTCCACCTTCTTAAAAAAGCTTCTTCCATTTCTCCTACTCTAGAAATTGATATATCTCTTCACAGTAAGTGTTTTCCACTAATTGGCTGTGCAATGGGTTACTAAGTCCTGATCAGATCCCACTTACCAGTCAGCAAACTGCTTTCCAGGATTCATTTCATACAGGCAAATTGTTTCTTGGTAATATATAAATTGAGCATTGTTTAAAAATAAAACATTTTGGAGAAACTTTTTGTCTTGTTTTCATCAGAACAATTTGCAGGAATACCAATTTAAAAGAAAAAAAGTTATAACTTGAGAGAAGAATGCTGATTGTTTAGCAAGTGGACTCTGAATCTTAGATGCTTTGCCATTGAGAATGCACCAGTTAATGATACTTGATAGGTAACACATCAATTGCATAAATGCATGGGCAGCTTTAAGGCCATCAATTTTGGTACTGTAAAATGCTCAATCCTATCATAAGATATCTCAAGTTTGAGCAATAGCGGAGCTTGCTGTTTCATGCTGTTACTACGTAGTAGCAACATGAGTGGTCTTTGCCACTAACAGGAAAACCAAAATGATATTTTGCCTATCACACAAATAAGTAATGTGACATACGATTTCAATGCCAGTGTGATGACATGTATGAAGGCTGTATGTTCCAAAGATTGATCAGATTTTATCAAAAAGCATAGCCCTTCCATTGTTCACAAAGAGCAAGGTACTGACCATATCCAACCAGCCTACACTCATAAAGCTTTCAACAAAGTGTACAATATCAGATGTGATTCTGTAATTGGACAACATTTACCGGATAATCTAAGTGTGTGAATAATTACACTGTAAATCAACTTAGAGTTGTCAGACAGGCACGCAGCATGGCATAATTGTATTAAATGAAAGCTGTGTATATTAATAAACAAGCCCCTATATTTGCAGATAGAAAGAACATGTATACGTCCGCATCTTTTTTTAACTGAACAGAATAGGTGATAGTCATTCTTTTCTCAGGGCAACACCATGAACAATAAGAGTCAACCCGTCTGGTTTAAAATTTAAACAAAACTTATATTTAACTGTCAACCATCATTAACTGGTGCAGTATTCTCCCTGGCAAAGCCTTGACAAGTCAGAGTCCAGTTGTGAACCAACCAACAATCTCCTCTCATATCGTATAAATGTTGGTTTTTCACTTAAATAGGTGTTCTTGTGAAGTATCTAGAAGAGTGCAAGGTGAAAAGCTTTAACAAAGTATGTCTTTTTTCGACAAGACACAGACAGATTGCTGATTAAATTTGATTGAAAAGCCTGAACAGTAAATTGCTTTGTGCCCTTGGGAATCTACACAGAAAGATATTGACATCACTCTGTTCACTCCCCACAGAAGAGGGTGACTTTTATGACCCAGCCTTACAACTAACAAATTTGCAGGAAGGTAGGGCTCAGACCTCCCCATCCCCACGACCTGTTCCCTCATTCATTGGCCAGTTAAGAGCTTTATTCTACCTCCACTGCAATAATTTGCATGTGGCTGGAGAAAATGGAATGAAGGAGACCAGTCCATGCCTTTTATAAATCAGACAAAAATGCAACAAAGAAAGGGAATCCTCCTTCCGAGGGTGTACCTGTATTTATTGGGAATGTTCCTAAGAACATTCTTCCCCCTACATCTGGCATGCAAAACCAGATATCTATCTCCCTGCCTTACTCACTCTCCCTCCTTCTCCAC